AAAAGTTTTTTTTTAAAACTTACTCGTGCAATATGAGCGATACTTAATCGTTGGACAATTTGTTTTATCTAGATTTCTCTAGAGAAAATCAGCTCTTGATGAGAAAACTACCACTTTTCCTTTCCTATTAAATACTACTAATTTCGTTGTTGTTGTTTTGAGTTCAGTCTTAATAATTCTAAAACTGAATATTATACGGGTTTTTCATTATTTTTTATCTTAACAAGGACACTACCTGCCCGTAACGTTTAGTGTTATAACAGGGTTAGTAGCTCAACTCAATTAATTGTGAAGATTTGGTGATTTTACAAAAATTCCAAGACATTTTTGATTTGCTCAAAACTAATTTGATAAAAAAAAATTGTCATTTTTCCTTTAGAAATTACTGTGCTAAGCTCTAAATTAATATTTCGCGAAAAATCGCCTATACTTTACTCCTTAATAAATGGGCAGGTAGCGTTCTCTTGAAGAATAAGAATGGTGTTCTGGAAAATGATTATTAAAACATTATTTTGACTACTTGAAATTTAACACAACTTTTTTGTGTTATTTATGATTTTCGTATGACTGTTTTTGTGTGTGACTTAAACTACAATTATTTCGGCCAAAAGAAAAATTTGACGCCCAAATCTTTTCAAAGGAAAAAAAAATACATCGCCAAAATATGTAAATTAGATACGGTTCATACTTGGGTGGATACGAGCAATGGATATATTTTACTGCATCACCTCCAATAAAAATAAAAGAATATCATACTCAGCTCAGGCGGATTTGTATCCTATATATAGAAGACTATCGTTTTACAATGTTAGTTTGACTAGGATGACATGTCGAACGAATGTCCTAACTACTCTAATATACAACCCAGATATTATGTTTATGTCGTCCAGATATTTTAGCTGAATGAAGTTTGTTCGTGTATTTAAATGGTAACTTTTAAATTTAAATAAAAAAATCACTTGTTAAGAAAATTAAGACCGTATGATATTTTTAATGGATTTCCCAGACTAGTTGGTCGAATTTCCACGAACTCCCATCCGAACGAAATAATGCCGGAGATGTTTTTTTCTAACAGAACAGACATCTAAAAAAAATAACCACCCCTAGGGCTGTTTTTTTTTAACTGGGTTTAAACTGAGTTTTTTTACTAACGTTTATATCTGACGTCACAATGTTATTTACGGTGAAAACTTTGTCACTTTAAGCTTAGGTAATTTCTTCAGACCCCAATTATTCCGATGTCTTCGTTCATTGGTTATATTTTATACTTTTCGTGCTTTACATAACGTAATTGGAGCATTGCAAGCGCAATCATTATTATGCAAGAAGAGAATATGTACGTATACTGTTCAATGTATATTTTATACTAATCGTTTAGTTTCAATGAAAAAAAAAACCAATTCATAACAATCCTTTGGTGCCTGGTAAGCCGGCAAAGAGGCCAAAAGATACACTCGACGTGTACTTCTATTTGACTTTTACGATACCTATTATAAAATATTATTTCAAAATAAACTATCCTTGTCGAAGGATCGAGACCAACTACAATAGTTACAGCTCATTAAAAACACGCGAAACCGCATTATGAATCAATAAAATAACTGATGTTATTTATAACAACGAGGAGAAAACTCTGGTAAATTATATGTATTCATGAAAAGTCGGAAGTTATAACTTCCAACCCGTATAATATTTCATATTATTATCCCGGTAGTAAGAATAAAAAACACTAGTTAGACGATCTCAATCGAATAAAATAGCTAACCATGGTTGATCGTCGTAATGTAAATATTGAAAAGACAATTTTTTTTTTCAAGTCTACCTTTTTTACCTCTACATGTCTTTTTGGACAAAAGCCAAAAAAAGTGTTAACTTAAAAATTTGGTATTATTTTATTTGCAACTTTTTGATAATTGTCAGAACAGCAACTTTAAAAAACACAACCGCTACTTACAAATTTACCCTAAATTCGGTTTTTAATTATTAATCGATCGCAATACACTAAAATAAAAGTTAGATACAAAAAGACACTAAATTTTGTTGTTAAGCATTTGGTAATAATATTATTTGAAATTATTTTTTTCATTTCTTTATTTAATTTGAAATATAGTACGATATTACTTAGGACGTGGTCGAGCTATATCAATTATGTGTTTGACACAGTAAAATACGAATGCCAGCCACCACGTCATATGACTTAAGACCTCATAATCGATTTTGAAGTTCGAGTACATCTGACATCATTAACATCTTGTTTTGAAAAAAATATGTTTATATTAATTCCAAAATGAATGACAAATTTGGGGAGAGTGAAAGCATGTAACATTTTTTTTTAACTCAAATAAATATTCAATTTGCTTCGCTTAAATTCTTTGTCGATTGTAACTTATTATGATAACCACTGATAATAATTATTTAGTTACTCGCATTCATGTCATACGTGGCTAATAAATTTAAAAACCTACGATTGGGGCAAAACCACATACTGCGAATCATCAGACTGTGAGTCCATTAATTACTCCTCTCTTTCATAGAGATAACATAGTATCGCTGTTCTACCTAACACGATCCACAGGATTTGTAAAAACGCAATATTTCATCTTTTCTAAAATATTGTTTAAAAAAAAAAATTTAACAAAGTTATTTATTTTTATCGTTAACATAATAAAAATGTCGCATTCACACGGCAAACTGCACATTTTCCTATTTAGACGATAAAAAAATAAATATAATCATAATAATAATGTAGAAATATGTCTTGATACCTAATTGGATTTCCTTAGAAAAAAAACGTTCCAATACGTTCCACTTAAAATGTAATTTGCGGTTCTGATATAAACAGTTTGATGTGCACTGATTATACCAATCCATTTTACTCATGTATAGTAAAATGTGTTTTTTCAACACTCGAACAGACCCGAGTACTCTAAACACTGTTTATTCGGTCCTGTTATCGATTCCCTTTACAGAAATAAACAGTGTTAAAAAGGGGATTTTTTTTCAAAATGTTTTCCATCATTTTAAAAATAGTTTTGATAATGTACATACAATGTTTTTAAAAAAGTGTTTACAAAATTTTGTCAAAATATTTTGGAAATATTTCCAACTTAATGAACATATTTATTTTTATATTTTAAGAATATAATACTTCAATGCCAAATGCTTATAAGACGTTATCGCTCAAATTATTTTTCTTGATCATATTTATAAGCTTTTCATTTTTGTTATATAGTTATTATCATTTTACAACTACCGCTTGGGAAATTATACTTTATGCCTACCTAAAAACTATTAACTATGTTGGACATAATAATATTTTCATAAACGATCGTTTGGACTGATACCGGTTACGGTTTGTTACTAATAGGAAACGTGCAATTTTAACGGAACTAACATTTTAAGAAAATGTAAAAAAAAAAGTGTTTTTTAAAAAGTTTCTAGATCACGTACGTTTTTCTTTAATACAACTCATATTGATGACGATGATGACTATTATGATTATTCGTTTATACATTTATAAACGATGAATAACAATTTATTTTTATTTTACACTATCTTTTACAATTATAAACCAATCGATGTATTTCATATCCAATTATTCAGAAAATAATGAAGTAAACAATTTGGCAATCGCTCAGTAATGATAACTTCGCTGGCTTTTGATTAAAGGCAGTGCTGCTAATAGATAGCACGGGGCTTCGACCCCTCCTCCCTCTCCCACGTCGCAAAAAATTATTTCTTAAAATGTCAGCAACCTTTGTTAACATTATTATAGCGTTTATATTTTAGAATATCTACCAAAAAACATTTAACTATTCGCGTATAAGTTTGTCGTTTAATTTTGCATGTTAAAGTGGTGGAAGGAGAATATTATCAATAGATAGAAGTGACCTTACGCTTTAACTAAAGATATGAGGTGGTATATTGTCGTTTGTTGTTAATTTAATGGAAAATCATAGGTCACTATTTATCCTAAGACGTGCCCCTAGTATCTTTAAAATACCTTATAAATTTAAAACTTTTATTTTAACAATAACACAATTTCATGAAAATGTATAAAATATAAGGTTGATCGTTTAACCGTTCGAGTCTAATGATAGACTGTAAAACATTAATTAAATTTATACACTATCTACATTAGACTATTTAGAGCAAAAATCTAACTAGCCACGATAATAACAAGTAGTGTAAAAACTTCAGTACTTATTATGGCGATGCTGTGGACATACTTGAGTTTTCCAATTATATTTTTTATAATATTTATAGTAATGAGTAATGACTGTGTTTGAGACAGTGTTCACACCTGGTCTAATGATATATTCATTTCTCAGCACGATGGAATGACTAACACACTGCGAACTCATCGAGAAAGATTAACTAACCGAGTCTATAATGAACAATGTGAAATTTTTTAAATTAGAATCAAAGTTGGTAATTTTCCATAAGGACCATTTTAATTTTGTATTAATTATAAAAAAAACCAACGGACCAATTTTAGATTAAAAAGTAAAAATACAATCAGTTTTTTTAAAATCATACACAGAGAGAAAAAATATGTATAATTGGACCAGCTAAATTTATGGTTAGTATAGGACCACGATAAACGCATAGTTGGAATAACTAAATAAATAGTTCGGCTATCTACATGTTAAGTTAGCCCAACTATAAATGTGTTTTGTTGTCCTTGTGTTAACCATAATCACTTTAGTTGGTCCAACTATTCATTTTTTCCCGTGTACGCGTTTGGAAACGGTTTAGAACAACGCGCCAACTGTATTATAATAATAAACGGTTGTAACAAAATCGTTTACACTCAACAAGTACTTTTTATTTTCATCGTACAACCGATTATAACGGTTAACGGTAAACTCATATTATTTTTATCCCCTTCGAGTTTGTTATCCGTTTCTCGATTGTGGCGAGACGGCTTGTGTAGATGTGGCGGTTATAATATTTTTTTTTATGCTAAAATATGTATTAGGATATAATATAGTACTCACAAGCTGTTTACGTACAAGTGGTCCACGTGCTCCATTCGCTTGACTTCAATGCTGCTGATCGTTGGGGGACCGAGGGGAACCGGGAGGGGGGATAAGTACGACCCGAACGATTATAACGGTATAATTAACTCACCGCATGGCGTAAACGGGTTTAATGTTATTATTTGAAAAAAAAAATGTTTAAAAACCAGACTTTTTAACGAAAAATAAAAACCCCAAAAACAACTCGGCGCGTACGTAAGTTTTTGCCGTTGCGGAAAAACCACTTTCTCGCGAGACACAAGACAGAGGCCGTCGGTTGCGGTCGGCGTGACGCGCGTTTTGCCACTGAAAAACCGTGGCGCGCCGCGTCCGACCGCCCCGGCTATATAGTATCCAGAAAAACACGTCTGGCGTCCGCACCTGCGTAAACGGCCAGCATCGTTTTGCCGCGCGTGCTGATTTAATGGTTTTAAGTGTCACGCCGACTGCCGCCGCCGCCGTCTTCTTGGCAACGCGTGCCGCCGTCATACCATTTGTACGACTATAACAATTATTATATTATTGCACCTACAATATCTACCTACGGCTGTATAATAATAATAACAACAACAACAAAAGCCAGTACAGTGGGGTCGGGACATAGTGGGGACGGAGAGGTCGCAAGTCTACAGATTTTATTACAAACCGAAAGTGATAAAATCACTTTTGAATAAACGCTTCGATGCGAATCTGTGGATAGTATGTTCAAACCAGTTATAGCGGTTTAGAAGATATCGTGGGACCAGTAATAATGTACTTAAAATTTAATATTTAGTCTTACGCAGGGTGGATACGATAAGGGTTAATCGTCCGTCTATAAAAACGTATTGCCATAGTAGTTATCTATTTATCGTAATTAACATTACAATGAAAATATTTTCATTACCTGTTGATTGTTGATTCACACACACACACACATAGCAACCTAGAAAATGACTACGGCCAAAGTGTAAATTTACCCTATTTTTGGGGGTTTTCCTTAATAAAAAAAAAAAATTTGGCTACATATTTTTGAGAAAATCGTATATGTTATAGTTCAATTTTAGATCTACCTTCGGTCTAATTTTCAGATCTAAATCTCTAAAACTTTGCTTGAAAAAGTGAAATAAAGAAAAATGCCTATCCCTTCTAAGGGAAAGGGTTTATGATATTTTTTTGGTTTGTTAATGTTTATCGATAGTACTATGTCTGAAGAACAATTCATATAAATTTGGAACATTTTCAACTATTTTTAAAAAAGTTATAGAGCATCGTAATTTTAAGATGAAAAATTTGTAAATTTGTTGGGTGTTTTTCTCGATTTTGATGGGGAAGGGGTGACTTTTTTTAATTTTTGGCCCGCTAACGTACCTTCCAGGTATGATTTCTGATCTATAGAGTTGCTACACGAAGAAATCGGTTCAGCGGTTTACGCGCAGATAAAACTAACACTACACTTCACTCTTCTTCCCGTATTAAATTTAACTATGATAACTTTAAAAGTAATTATCCCTAAACTGGTTAATCGACTAGACAACATTTTCAGTAAATTATTCTAATTTAAAAAGTTAGCTGAATACTTACCTTACTGACGTATCCTATTTACTAACTACTTCATATTTTTTATTTTACCAAAAATAAGGATTTACAATCTATAGAATTAAAAAAAAAGTGACTCTACTTTAATTCGATTCGACACATACAAATAAAATAATTATTAGATAATTGTTTAAGTTTACTGTTTTTATTTGATTTTTTTAGTTATTATAAAGGTCGCGTCATCAATTTCGATTTAACCAACTAAGAGGTTTTCTAGAAGATTAACAAAAGAAAGATTGGTTATCAGTGGATTTGGGTGATTTACAGTGTTAGAGTAGAATTGTTTCAAGCGAGTGGAAGCTAGAGTAGAAATATTGAGGTCGTTGTAAAGAGTACTATTACTTGCATACCACGGAGTGTTAGTTAATAAACGGAGGTTAATTGATTGAAAGGGTTGAAATTAATTACGGTTTGAGGTTTATGTCGATCCACAAATTTGGATGCCGTAAGTCATTACAGGACGAATAAGTTTGTTTGTACCTACTTTGTATAGAATAATTTGATTATCAAGAGAGATGTTTGAACGCATAAGATGTCTTAAATTATGGGGTTTTAGTTTGAGAGATATCTTATTAGTTTTAATGTGAGTAGCCCAGGTTAGACGTTAATCAAGATGAATGCCAAAGTATTTTAAGGAGTTTTCTATTTGGATTATATTATTGTTAAGGTTAATTTTTGGAGGACTAACTTTAAGGCCTAAGGTGAAGGTAATGTTAAGTGATTTGTTTTCATTTACTTTAATTTTCCATCGGTTGAACCAAGTTATTAGCTCATTTACACGAATGTGAAGATTATCAATGGCCGTATTGATATCTGGGTCGGAAGAAGTTATACAGGTGTCATCTGCAAAAGTGGCCAAGTTAGTGATGTTTGAGTGAGGTATATTTGAGTCAGCACTAAAGAGATTATAATGGCGAGAACTTCATATTTAAACTCCTACATTAAAAATCACTGAGTTTTGATCATAATAACGATTACGCGACAACAAATAGGTAATATTTCTAAAAAAGATTATATTTTTTGAATTTAGAATTTTTATTCGTGTACGTATGATTAAAAAAAATGCTTACTTCTAATAAGGAATGGTATTCAGTATTTACCAATCGGAAACAAAATCTATTGTTATCAATAATTATATTTCTTTGCAATGTCTTTCACGATAAAACTGTTTTATATTATAGAGTTAAAATCAGTTAGGTTAGGAATCGACAGAATGTAAGAGTTTCCTTTGATTATAGAAATGGAATAAACGACTGTCAAAGGTTTTGATTCCGCTAAATAATTTAAAAAATTGGAGATATTATACTAGTGCTTGTAGTTATTGTAGTGCTTAACGTTTCAACTGCCGAAAGTGGGGTGCCTATTAAACATCCTGCAAATATTATAAGTATAACGTGATATTGTATGTAGGTACTAGCGCAGTATTTTGTCTACAACATTAAGAGTAATGAACAGTAAAATAACTTTTTGCCGCTTGTTTATTCAATATTTTTTCAGCCAGAGCGGTTCGAGTAAAGTCGTTTAGAGTCTAAGGCGTCACGCATTTTTTGTGTACACTAAGAGACCTTTTTTTTGTTGTTGCCAATTTCATATATGTATTCTACCCGTCAAAAAAGTTTACCCGTGACCCTGACACGTCACGTGGTACATTACAAGTGAGTAAATGTTGAAACGTCCAACACGAAAGTTGCAAACAAGTCAACGACTTTTAAATTGTTACATCACGGTGTGAAGTGTGGTAATTCATTATAATAACCACAAAAAACGTTAACCTTTGGGAGTCGATAATTGACTCTAAGCTCACTTACACGGTCAGATATTATAAACTATTGAAATGTGATGATCATGCCAATGATTTTACCAGATAAATGATCCGAGTGCTTGATTTTGGGATAAAACCGTGAATGGTCTGGACTTTTACAAGAAAAAACGGCCGGAACAGGGTAAACGTACTAGCTTATTTTTGGCTCAGAGAAGTTACATGTCTTACGGAATTTTTATAATGATTAATTTCCAAAAAATATGTTTCGTTGTCAAAATACATATAGTAAAAAAATAATTGGATTAAATTTCTAACCGACACTTAAAGCTATTAATTAACAATATTACTAATTTCTAAGATTGTATTTGTTTTATTCACAATTGTAATTCCCTTAATGCGTTTGGCATTTGTTGATAATCTAATTTCCAGTAAAGCGTTGTAATGTAATTTGTATTTTACATAATATTTTCTACTTTACTGCTACCAAGTGACACTGTTGCAATGTTGATGTGCGGAAAATGAAAACCCAAAGTAAACAAATTTCACTGATTCAACTACTAATGGTTAAAATGTTGCCCTCGTCTAGTGAAATCCAAAAGGACCGCCGCTGATGAAGTTCAGCCGTTAAGCGGTGTAGTTCGTAGAAGTGATGTCATCAAAATGAATAATGTATTCAAAAAGTAATCAAACGTAGCACGTGGAGTAATTTTTGTTGTTTCTTCGCCATCAAAACCGTCCCGGAAGATCTTAACATCAATTCTCAGATTTATGTAGAGTTTTCATTACAATATCCACAACAAGTGCGTTTCCACGAGCTACAGATTTACACGATTTAACGCATACCATGACTGACAAGAATTTCATCAGTTCTCGGTACCCACAGGTAGGTAAATTAACACATTTGGAATAAACAAATATACCGCATAAAAATCGTCCATCAATTGGTAATTTGGGTAAAACTCGTTAGATAGAGTTCACTGAAAAGTCGAGAAACACAATAGTTTCCAAAATTTACAAGCTAAAAATGATACTTTGAAGCTTATGAAAATTAATCTGTTAATAAAATTACATGGTCGAAATTGATTTAAATCCAATAATTGATCTTAATTATCGCATATATAAAACTCCTTAAACCCCGTCTGCTTTTAATCCTCTTAAGCTATAATATACAACATTTTGCCATCGTAGCGTGTCCCAGAAAGTGACTTTTTACCTTTTAACCAATTGACTGTCTTAATCCCACTAAAATGTTCTTAATAAATAATCATACAACAACCAGACGTATGAATCTCGAACACTAGAGTTCTAGTTGGACAAAAGGCCCTCGGCTTAAGAACATAAGCTCCATGATTATTTCAAGTATTTGAAATTTGTTTAGTGTGTTTTACCCATTTTTAGTGAAAATGGAGTAGGATTTTTGATTGTTTGTTAAATTGAAATTGATTAATGTATTTGCTTTTACTTTTCATTGAAAATGCCTCTTATAAGACATGATAATGATAAAAAAAAAATATTTGTAATTATAATTTTCAAAACATTTCAAATAGAAAAGAAGTTAAAATTAATTAATTCGGGCAAGTTTTCCTCATCTAAACAATCGTTTGTCATTAAAAACCTGATCAGTGAAATTGTTTTTTTTTTCTGTGCCTCTGTCCAATTTTTCTATAATTGTATAAATAAAAGCAATAAATAAGCTCGTCAAACCTGTTCCGTCGCGAACGGTTCATTTTAATTAACATTGTATCTCTCTTAGATATTTATTTTCTGAGAAACAATGAAAACACCTTAACAACGCAGTAGCGCAAGGGCGACTGATGATGCCTACGACACTAACAAAGCAATAAAAAAAAAAAAAAGGTTACCAAACACCGGCTTCGAGATCTTGCGTTTATAAGAGTAGTAAAGACTTGGATATTTCATCTTTTTTTCTCCGTAAATCACTTTGCAGTTAAAC